ATCGTTGTTGGCCAATCCATGAGTGTTTGGATTACTCGGGGAAAGACCGGTCTTAAAAGGCTCAGTAGCTGCAGCATGAAATTTCCTTAAAAAAGCCTTTTTGAAACTCGGAGCCTCCAAAAGTTGGTTCTTGGTTACCATATCCACCAAATTTGGGTTTCTTGTTGATGCCGGTAGTAAACTTGAGCCCTAGGCTGAGGGCTTCTGTCTCGGTGACGGTTAGTGTATTGGCCAAGTCCATGAGTGCTTGGATGTATCTTCTGGGAATGACCGGTCTTGAAGGCTCAGTAGCTGCAGCAGTGATAATTCCTTGAACAAAGCCTTTTTGAAACTCGGAGCCTCCAAAAGTTGGTTCTTGGTTACCATATCCACCAGATTGTTTCTTGTTGATGCCGGTAGTAAACTTGAGCCCTAGGCTGAGGGCTTCTGTCTCGGTGACGGTTAGTGTATAGGAAGATAAGTTATTTATGATTTCTGGTCGTCCCATTTCGCTCCATTTGCTGTGGGAGCACAGGTCTTGTAGTTTTCGTGATAGCTTCAATTTCTGTTGGATGTTGGCAGTGGTAATTTGGCTGAGTATATATTCTGCAGTTCTTCTATCAGGAGTAGGAAGTGAAGCACGAATCTGAGCGGCACGTAATGAGGTCTCCTTCTGAGCATGTCGCAGAGAAATTCAGCACCCTCATTCCCACCACCGTTACCTGGCTAAGATACGTTGATGATGTATTGGTTTTCTATCCGAGACGTCTCAATATCCAGGCCCTTCTCAACAAGATCAATGCAGTTGAACCATCAATAAAGTTTACACTTGAACTCGAAAATGATGGCAAACTTCCTTTCCTCGACGTTCTACTGTGCAGATCTCCCGACAGTGACAAACTTCTCTTCAAAGTGTATAGAAAACCTACCAACAAGGACGATCTTATACACTTTTATTCACACCAAGACACCCGCACTAAGAGAGGAGTCCTCATTGGCTTCTTCTTGAGAGCTCTTCGCATCTCCAGCCCTTGTTTTCTAGAAGAAGAAGCACTTACATAACACAAGCCTTTACACGTCTTCATTCCCATCTTTCTTCATCCGAGATTGCAGACTTAAGGCACAAGCTATTCTCAACAAACCGCCCATGGAACAGCCCCCTAAGCAGTTCATAGTACTCCCATGTGGTGATGTGCCACGAATACTCGCCGGGCACTTGCTATGAGTAACATTAACGTTTCCACCATAAACACATCATCTATCAAAGACCTCACTACGAAACGCAGCCCCACACCTCTAACTTCTACAGCAGGCGTCTACACTATCCCCTGTGGGTTCTGTCTCAAGAAATATGTAGGCGAGACAGGCAGAGATCTTGCAGTCCGCTTGAATGAGCATCGAAATGCCTCTAACAGAGACGATGTAAGGTACGCCTGTGTCCTCCACAGAGACTCCACGGGACATTTGATGAACTGGAATGAGGCACAACTCGTTCTCACCGAACCAGACCTCAGACGCCGACGGTGCCTAGAAGCCTCACTAATCGCCGTCACCGACACTATAGAACGCAACACTGGAAACTACAAAATTTCAAAAACATTGGCATACCCAACAACACAGGAGTCACATGATTTCATCGTCTACCCGTCCTCATCATAGGCAGAGGTTGTTTTGATAAGGACCTGCCTCGCATGGGCCAGTAGGCCTTCTACAGTGTTCCTCCATTCTTATGTTCTTATGACATTCCTCAGGTCACGTGCGTCACACCTCACTCTCCGCCTATGTATATATAATGCCTTTCTACCTCTGTATGTTAGAAGTGATCAAGGTCCCAGGACCGAAACATTTTCTAATAAATATGTCATAGTGTTTGCTTACGTGTCTTTCTGAACCAACTTGTCGGTATTTATTACCAAGGTTTATACTACCTCCCCTCTCTCTTATATATATATATATATATATATATATATATATATATATATATATATATATATATAAAATGGGTTAGCAATAATACATTAGAATAAAAAGACACCAGTATGATTAATAATCTCCTAACTAAGGATCCTCTTAAAAAAAAAAAAAACACGAACCGAGAGTTTTGAACACTGTTGCCCAGGTGTCCGGTTTCGTGCACAATTGTGAATATTGTTGGCTGCTAATGATCGGGGCTCTCTCTAGGCTGGGCATCCAGCTGTATTATTATTCTAATAAAGAAAGCGCTAAACCGACAAGGGTTATGCAGTGCTGCCGGGCAGAAAATAGTGCTGGGGCTATAAACAGCTAGGTGGAGAGGGGATCAGAGGTGAGGGGAGGAATGGGCTGGAATGGACGCTAAGGGCTGTGTGTCAAGGTTCGTATAGTGAAGCAGTTGCTGACAAAGTCAAAAAGTGATTGTAAGTCAAAGGCAGGACCGTCTGCCAGATTGGAAGATAAGGTAAGAGAGGTAGGGTGGCGGCTTCGTTGGAGGTAAATCCTGCGAGCTCGCTGGTAAACCAGGCAGTTGACAAAAATGTGAAGAACCGAAATAGGAACCCGACAAACTTCACAGAGAGGAATAGGGTGTCGTTCCATGAGATACCCATGGGTAAGGCGAGTATGGCCAATGCAGAGACGGGAGTGAGCACTCTCCCGAGTACGGCAACGGTGGTAAGAAGATGGCCACAAACCTAAAAGCGGTTAAATAGAGTGCAATTTGTTATGGTGCATGTCCGCCCACAGTTGTTGCTAACGGCCACGAACACGGGCAGAGATGACTGAAAAATAATCTCTGAACGGAATACCTCCATAGGAAACCGAAAGATCATGCACCGCTGACCGTGCAGCAGCAGCATCCGCTTGTTCATTGTCCTGCACATCAATGTGTCCAGGGACACGACAGAAAACGACATCTTTATTTTTGCTAGCCACACAGCACAACCATAGCTGAATACGAATGACTGGTGGATGAGGGGAATCAAATTGCTTAATGGCTTGTAAAATAGTGAAGGAATCTGAAATGATCATAAACGTAGAAGGAAACGTATGTAATACGGAGAAGTGCTATGAGGATGGCATACAAATCGGCAGTAAAAATACTAGCCGAGTCTAACAAATGACCTCAGACAACATCGTCAGGGAACACTGCCGCGAACCCAACATCGTCAGAAGATTTAGAACCGTCTGTATAAACAACGGCATGAGCATGAGACCGGAAGTGATCAAGAAAAAGAGAGCGAGAAGCAGTCGTAGGTAGGAAAGCTTTGGCGCACAGCAGTAGGGGAGAACAGACATGAACCGTTAGAACCTCCCAAGGGGGATGCTAAATGAGCATACAAGGGAGGCAACTGGAGAGAAGACCGGTGTGAGTGAAGGCGAAGAGAAAACGGTTGGAGTAAACAGGGGCGTCGAACAAGTAACAAGCTTCTACTAACGTCTGAGACCAACCTATATGTAGACGGAACACGAAGGTTGTGAGAGCAGATAGAGTAACCCTGATGATGAAGGGGATCTAACTTAGTGGTAGAAGCTGCAGAATAGACTTGGTCGCCATAATCCCTCTTGGACAAGACTAAGGTGGAATGCAAAGGAGAGTCCGGCGATCTGGTCCCCATGAACGATGAGCAAAAAGTTTAAGAAGATTCAGCCGACCATGGCAAGCTGCCTTCGAAGAGAAAATGTGAGGTTTCTATGTCAACCAGTTATCAAAGAAAAGGCCAAGAAACTTGACCATAGAACATTCTGCAATACGTGAGCCGTGTAAATACAATGGAATATCTAGGACAAGAGGACGTCTAGTGAAGGTAATGAAATGAGTTTTCGTACTAGAAAAATTAAATTCATGAGAAGTGGCCCAATGGGAAACTCGGTCAATCGCATCTTGAAGGGAGGCTGCTACCAGGCAACGGTCAGAGCCTGTGTAAGCTATAGCGAAGTTATCCACATAAAGTGACGACAAAATATGTGACGGAAGAACGGAAGGTAGGTCATATATAACCAAGAGTAAAAGGGTAGTGCTAAGGATACAACCTTGTGGGACTCCCTCGGCCTGAACAAAGTCTGAGAAAAGCGAGGCGCCAACAATGACACGAAAATGTCTGTCAGATAAGAAGGCAGAAAGGGAAGTTGGTAGATTACTGCGGAGGCCTAAGGAGTGGGCCCGGGCTAAAATGTTATACCTTCAAGTGGCGTCATATGCCTTCTTAAGATCAAAAAAGACTGCTAGGATGGAGGTTTTTTTGGCAAAGGCATTTTGCACATGCATATCTAAAGTGGAGTAAGGGGTCCAAGGTAGAGCGGCCCTTGCGAAAGCCATAGTGGCGAGGAGAAAGACTATTGTGAGTCTTCAAATACTATATCACACGTCTATTCCATCACTTTGCAGACTACACTGGTCAGAGCAATGGGACAATAGTGAGAAGTTTCAAACCCCGAGGTGACTGATTTATGAAACGGTAGTACACTGGCAG